TCTCAAATCTCGACAGAAAGGGCCCTTTGAAGCATCTGGAGGATTTCTAAAATCATGTCTTTCGCCACCCCAAAGACAAACAAGAAGTAATAAAAAGCCTGGAAATTCTTCAAACCCTTCAACTGCAACCCAGGCTCGGCAAACGTAACCTTAAGAGTTATGAAAAATAATGGCTTATTTCAAAAATGGCTTACTTAAATAGAGTCTTTTTAAAGCAGAAATGGTCAGCTGATTTATAGCACTTTGCCACTGGAATCTTTTATCTTAAGGGAAGCAATACTTTTGACAGATTGAGCCTTTAATTTATGATCATAAGCACGCTACACATGAAGACATTTCAGACATGTCTATGAAAAAATGTTTCCGCTTTGTGAAATTTAAATACATTTCACACAGGGCTGTCCCCAAATGTTCAATGGGGTGTTCTGAAGCTCACATCTCAAAGGCTGTTCCGAACTTTCGAAGGTTAAGTCTGTGTGAAATTTGTGGTGACGTTTTTTTTTCCCCTGAAAGTATAGGACCCGTGCTTCAATGTCTGAATACCAAATGACATCACATGGAAATTTCACACCTATATAATTTCTACAAGGTAATTTATTGGAGGAATTAATATGGAAAATTCACACCTAGATAATTTCTACAAGGTAATTTATTGGAGAAAATGTACAATATCTTGTTTTTTAATTAGTGCAACATCAATGTTAAAATACTGATCAACAACCCTGTCTCATAACATTCATACCTGAAGGTGGTAATTACTTTCTAACTAATGCTATTTATCATTATGTGAATGTTACCATTTTTTTATTATTTACACATAACGTTTATCTGAAGTCAACTGCAATTCTTTCAACTGGCCACCTGAATTAGCGCCGTACAGTAGGTAGAACTGCAGGTCGGCCGTAATTGTACAGCGAACTAACTGCATGTATGAACGTTTTCCAGGTAGCATCAATAAGAGGAACATTCATGTAACAATTTACTCTAAAGGGGGATTAATTTATGGTAACCACCTGAAAAACAGCCAGATTTCTAATCAGTAAATTATGCAAATTATTACTACCCAAGACATATTCTGAACTTCAAAGGTCAAAAGTTATCCTTCCCACAAGTTTATACGACATCAGTTGTAGGGAATTGCTGGCACTGGCTAAGGCATGTCTCACTATATAAAAGACACACAAATGTCAGGATTATTGATGGTCTTATTTTCAAATAATACACTAGAAGGGCTGTTGAAAATGCCAGCTATGTGACTGATTATCCTCAGCTGAACGGTAGCTTGGAAAATTCCATTAGGGAGAAGTAGATGAGTGTGTGAAATTACTTCAAGTTTTTACCCAGCCTACAGTCAATGTCAGAGGAAGACTAGGGACTACAAGAATGATACATAGGCCAGTGTCCTGTCGCATTACAATGAGCACCCTTGAGGATACAAGTAGGACAAAACAGTATGCACAAAAATGAACAGACATAAGCATATCTACACTTACATACTGATAACGCAGCTACAAAGTAAACTAGAACACGTTAAAGACAATGCATCGACATGAACATCTTTAGAACATGTTAAAGACAACTTGTGATGAAAGAAAAACAGTGAATAATAATCTTTTTATGGATGGGCCTTAAGAGGGATTCCTTCAGGCTCACAGATCACTAGGAAAACAATTTGACCCACTTCAGATTTTACAAGCTGCAATCCCCTATACAAAGAGTGATGATACTCAGAAGAGCAAATATTCTGAAAAATCTACATTTCTGTCAAAACAAAATTACTCAATATAAACATGTAACATATCGGAAACAGGGTTTGGGCTTCTATATTATAATGCATCACCGCAACATTGGTGTGGACACTAGTTAGGTCTCTGGACGACAGGGCTGTAGGATAAAGCTGTTGTACCTTTGAGGAAGTTACCTCACTCACACTGCTCCAGTAAATGCCCTGCTCTATCTAGGTCAATACTGCACATGAGAATTTGTTCTCAATTGGCTTACCTGGTTAAATAAAGGATTAAAGAAAAAGGCATGCAAACTGTTACAGAATGCAAACCTTATTCCTAGACCTGCAGCCTGGGCATCACTTGAGCAAACCACTGATCTTCACCAAACTTCACGTAATTCTATCTCAAGTCTTATTTTTATACCTTATTTCTGCTTCGTCAAAATATTTCATGTTAGTGCACTTAAGAACCCTGTGAAATTAAAAGTTGCATTTAAAATAAGAAAACTGGGATACAAATTATCTTAACATACCACTCCAGTTAAGATGTAAAACCTAGCACACCTGCTCTGACAACACCAGGTTGCATGAACAATATAGAGGTACTACATTTTCAGTGCAACATGTGCTAACACAACGAAAGAACGCAATACTGCCTGAATTTTAAAAAGGACAGATATTACCACGTCAGCAAACCTCCAAAGGGCCTCACTATCAATTACACTTTTAAAATTCTTAGTGCAGAAATGAATGGATCATACTACTTAAAAACGCCAGGCGTTTAATCCAGGCAGTGCTGATCATAGATGAGACATGAAGGAATGTGCAGAACTGGCCACATGCCACCTGGGAATGGGTGAGGCTGATACAATTGGAACATCCTCACCTTGGCAACCAACAGCATCCTTGTAGAATTGAGATCAAAGTAAATTAAAACACTGTCCCACTGGTCTATTGTAGAGTACAGCAGTAGCAGTTCTGATGGACTCCAGACCCTGACCACAGTCAATGTGGCAGGCAAGCCCTCAGTATGTGCTCTTGAACTACACTGTGATATGAACCAGCTTTTTGGCAAACGGGACAGCCCGGTCAATAGTGCTGATCGCTCTTCCAGAAAAATACCAGAGACGGAGTGGAAAGTGGGGTGTGGAGTTGGCACGTCAGAAAATGGGGACTTTGTTCTTTATTTCTGTGTTTAAAAAATGTTTTTGACACATCGATAGAAGAATAAGCTCTTATGCAGAAGAAATCTCCTCAAAAGCAAACTTGTTCATAGAACGTTTATCTTTAGCACCAGAAAATGTACATTTTGAAGAACAGTTTATTGCCTCATAAGCATGTAGTTAGACAAAGAAACACGAGTTAATTCACAGACACTAGCAACGTCTGTGACCGTAAGGTACTGGCACAGTAAACCCCTTAGACCTGCATTCTGGGCACATCAGGTCGGAAAGGAAAAAACAGTCAGTGGGGTGTTAAAGACAGATCCCAAACACATGAAGCAGTGTGAGAGGAGTTTGAGCCCCTTTCATTTTAGACCTTGTTATCAACATGCTGATGCTAAAGGTGGCCAACTGTGAGGCACATTTTTTCTATTGAAGCAGAGAGCTGTCAGAATGGGGGAGAGGCTGACCAGTCAGAAAATGCCCAATTCATGTGGCAGGTGAACCTTGGGCATCAGCAACCAAAAGTGTTAAGAACCTAGTGAACCACTCTCTGTCCTTGAAGTGTTATAAGAGAGAGAGAGGCTATCGAGCGCATCTTTGCCCACATGGACCTCAGCTTTTGAAATCCTCTTCAAGCTGAGGCGAAAACCATTGAGCTCCTTTTCTTTCAGACTCTGGTGTCACAGCTCTTAGAGGTGATCCACAAGTACTTGTAATATTAAATGAATCACTTGACAGTTTCAGAAGATTATGTCAGTGAAATATAGGACTTCTGTAACACTTCTGTGCCAGCCAGCTGCTTCAAAATGTACAAATGTGCAAATAACACCAGTTTATCCTGACACTTCTGTGCACACAAATGATCAATGCCCAACAAAGCACACTGCTACGAGGATGGACACAGAAACATGTATAAACAGAATTGAGGTTTGCCTTCATCTTATTAAGAAATAACCTGCGTCATACTCTGAATGAAGGCCTGCAGTTCAGGACACAAACGTTCAATTGCATACTTATGCAAAGAGAACCAAGCTTCACATAATTAAAACAAGCACAATAATTTCCCTGGATCTCTCATCCTCTTAGAAATGTAATGTTCTAATACACAAGGGTAAGCATAGAAATACCGAAATCGAAATGAAAACACCACATCTTATGTTCATAGACGTGGGAGAGCAAGGAGTTAGTGTCCTCTAAGGAGCCGTTTCCAATGCAATCCGCAAATCACTTTAAAGACCACGGCAGTTCAGTGAATTTTTTAAACAGAGTGTAGGCAGTTAGAAACGACCAAATTGGGTTTAGCTGGTCAAGTGAACGTTGCAATGCACTGAGCATCTTGGAATAATAATTATAAACCTGCTTAAAAATAATTTCATTCTTACTTTGGTAAATGTATTGTATTGTCTGGCTTCATGCCAGTTTCCGCAAACGTATACTTGTTTTCATCTATATTTTAACGGTTGCGCACTATTTACGTTATCTGTCCTTCTGTCAGAGTGGGGGGGGGGGCAGGGGAGAGAAGGGGGGTCTCGACTTCATCTCGGATAAATAACCAACGCTGTAATGCCATCATTGTCGGCGGCGGCCAACGGGAGCTACAGGAAAGCGATTAACCTCGGTGTGGGTTTTTGCTTGCAGCCAGGCGTCAGATGCAAGTCTTCGACATTGTTTACCGTAACGCCACTCACCCCGGCTCCTGACACCCAAGCCAAGCCCGGCTTCGTGAAGGATCCCTCCCTCCCCTCTCATCACTGCTTTGATCGGTGACCACGGCGCCCCCACGCAGCCTAAATTGCCCCAGTTGCGTACAACCACTTTAACCCCCGATGATTATGTGTGTGTGTGTATATATACATACACAAGCAATGAACGCTCCACTCACTGACTAGACATATCAGGGGACTCTAATCAAAACAGAACATTATCCGCAAACCGTCAGCTAACACCCCCACCCCTCCTACCAATGACGTCTAATAGCTAAAGCCACGTATAAAATACAATCAGACATCCAATCCTTAACGTAATTAGCATTATTTGTAACCTTCCCGATTTAAAAAAAACAGCTTAAAAGCTCCCCTTTCTTCAAGCGCCCTGTCTCTCCGCCTTACCTCTGGTGAGATCGAGCGGTACGTTTTCCTCCCCGCTGTCATTCCGACCTGTCAAACACAGACAACACGGACACGGTTAGCACAAACACTGGGGACTCTGGGCGCACAGAGGGTCCAAGCTCGCCGATCCGAAGGAGACGAAGCCCTGCTGTCAGGAGAAAGGGGAGTCTATCTTACCTCGCATCCGAAGACTTCGGATCGGACGGCCGCGGATGCTGACCGCCATGTTTCCAGGGACATTCACAACACCGGAAACATCGGGGAGATATCGCGAGAGGATGAGGGACGGACGAAAGAGGAAGGGGGGAGTGTCTCTCGTCTGAGGGAGGAGTGGGCAGGAGCAGCGCGAGCTGTGGCGACATCTAGCGGACTGAGCCGTACTTCACTTCACTTCAGATGCCAATCAAAATGAACTTGTTTCTCAAGCGCTGCCGGAGCGTTGGGATGTACAGTAGGTCGGGTCCGTTGCAGTAAACGTTGTGCAAAGAACAATAGGAATAAAGTCTCATAATAAAATATCAAAATGTAATACAACAGTCACAATTAACATACCAGTATACATACAGGAAACGTGGACATGTATATAAGGTATACCACACACGTAAATATATATATATATTTTGAGTGTAACAATATGTTTCGGCCTGCTGACTTAACGCTTGACAGATGAGCAAGCACTGTCATGAATTCTGTGTCAGTTATTCAACTTAATCATGTTGTATCCTATTATACCCAGGTTAGTTACATGTGATACTGTAGATACCATGATAGCAATAGTATAATGTATCAAATGCTGCATGTTTTTTACAGTGTAAACAACACCAAATGGGCCGTTTAAAAAAAAAAAACCAATAAAAAAAAAACAGACCATAAAAACTATAGGATTTACTTTGCAGATCATCCCAGACAATTCTCAGGATCTCAGCGTTTGCAGTGTGCTATTCTTCCCTTTTCAGGCCTTTAAGCAGGTGGCAATTTCAAAGATTATTTTATTTACTGCAAAGGGTCTTGTCTCTTCTCTGTGTTGCATTTGTTCTCTTGTCTGAAACCAGTCTATTCCCAGTTGTCTTTCCCTGCAGTCAGCAGCTATATCACCCAGCAACTCCCAACTGAAGCTAAGCAGGTGTGAGCCTGGCCAGTACCTGGATGAGAGACCTCCTGGGAAAGCCAAGGTTGCTGCTATAAGACATGTTACCAGGACCAGCATTGAACAAATTTCCCCTTGGTCTTTACCAATCATGGCCTCCTTATATCTGTTGATTTCATTAATCTGTTCTCCTCCTTACTGATAGCTGATGTGTGGTGTGTCACAGATGTCGGAAAGGACGAACCATGGAATGGCAGGAGAGAGAAAATAGACCCTATGCGTAGCGGCGAGACGGGGGTTAGCCCGGGCTATGCCCTCAGGCCATGGACAGGAGTGACCTGGTGCTAGGCAGGTCTCAGGACATCTGAACCTCAATGCTGAGCGAGGCGCAGAGCAGAAGCAGGAAGTAAATAGGTTACACAACAAGACACACCAGAAAGACATGAATAATCACAGGGAAGTAGGAAATTGGAGAGAAGTAGAGCACCCTCTAGATGTACTGGGCGTGACATGGTGAGCATACTGGTGCACTTTGGCTGCTGTTGCATCATCCAGGTGGATGCTGCACATTGGTGGTGGAGGGGAGTCCCCATTACCTGCGAAGCACTTTGAGTCGAGTGTCCAGGAAAGTGCTAAACAAGGTTAAGGAATTATTATTATAATTATTAAGGAATTATTATTATTATATGGAACAGAGAACTAGAGAAGTTGAATAGTACTCATGATTGGAGAGCAATTGTGGAAAATATTTTCCTGTCACATACTGTATGTAGGGTGTGCCTGGTACCTACTGTACCTGAAATTCGTGGGAGTTCCCAGTGTCAATGTACTAATGTGTTTCCAAATGTAAGCAGCCAACTTGATAATGCCGACTCTGAAGTTACTATCAACCTTTAGGCACAATGATTTTTACTGGCAGGTCTAAACTGCAGTAAAAGCTCTTTATTCATTATGAATCATGGTGTCATCTGTGAGCAGGGTCTGGGTTTAGCATCTGAGCCTCAAGCTTGGAATTCAGTTAAACTTTTATTGAATTAAAAGGCCTGTCCACGTGTTTCTAATGTTTTTGCTTTGCTATGTGAAATAACGATTACTATTACAATGTGCTCTCTGTGGATGTGGGCTTTGAGAAATATTAAGTATATAGGATTCTGGAAACTCATTTCGTGTTTTGGTGTCATTTTGATTAATTGTACAAATCACCTCATGAGTGAGACAGATGATTGGGCTCAAATGATGAGGTATTGTAACCTGTTGAATGTCCAGCCTGGTGAGCATCAAGAAAGAACAACCCGGAAAAGAACCAATATGCCTTGGTGTATTGGAGGTTAGACTAAAGCAAACATTTGGTTTTTAAACAAAACTAATACTAAAGTAGATAAATGTTTTCTTACCCGTTATCATTAGGGGCTCCATCCACTCTTAAATCAAATTATGGGGCCACCAACAAAGATACCTGAATCTTCAGGGTGAAATAAAAGTTAAAAAAGCTTCAGTTCAGTTTCTATGCTTCCATCCTGAAGCATAGAAAGAGCGTTATGGTTGTTGGGCTTCGTCAGCTGTTTCTCCTTACTGTTTTTCACAGTGAAATCAATCCTCACCTGTTCCTTGTTCATTAATAGTGGTTTGCTATTACTCAACACTTTTAACACCTGCAATAGAAGCTCGGGCCAAGAGTAGTATTTAAGTAACCGTCACCCCTGGTTTTCTGAACTGAAAGGGTACACTGTTGTGGAATTCAGATGCTTGCTTTGGAAAGATGCAGCACTGTGTTTTTCATAGTGGTCTTTATTCTCCAAGTCAGTCCTCCCAATTAATTTGCGTAGTACCTTTTCAAAGAAAAGGGCATCTCCTAGATTAGTGTGACCACATTTTGTATCAAGATGTTTAAATCGAGAGGAAAAAAAAAGCAAAATTTAAAATGTTTCCTTTGAACCCCATGGAGATATGAACTGAAAAAAAAAATTAAACTTATCCTCCTGTCAAATCATATTTGTCACTGTTTTTTATTTTTTAAATTTTAATGAAAAAAGGCAAAATGTACAGTAGTTATTACTAGCATAATTCACAATAGTATATTTTATCCTCACAACAAACTACTTGACTATTGAATTGTATGTTTTTAAATTACAGAGTTTAAAGAAATTAAACTCTCAGGACATCTGTTGGTTCATAACATCACACAGCATTAATATATTAAAAACACAAATATAAAAACCTTTCCTTTTAAAAAAACCTACAGGATATTAGGTAAATGTAACACTTCTACAATATTTTAATTTCTAGGAATGTATTTATTAAAATACAAGAAAACACACATACTTGTATTATAGTACATAATCCTGACATTTCTGGTAAGTCTGAAATTCTTGTTCATGTACAGTATTAGGCCTTGATCTAAATGTTATATAAATGTTTTGTTTGCTATATACAAATCAGTTTTGCCTTTCATTTTATTCTTCATATGTCCTCTTATGAGTATTCCTTTCAACCACTTCTGCCTTTTATGCCACGATCGGCTGTGCTATCTAGTTGTTCCATTAAACAAAATCTGAAAGAAAACACAAGTACCGTATGTGCAGAGACAGCAAAGTACTGTAGCTTCTTGTGGTGAGGTGACTGATGCAAACTGAGCCTGTGTGACACTGAAATCTTTCCCCATGGTGTGTCTGCCCACTGCTCAGAGGGCAATCTTTTCAGAACCTTTTTGTGGTTCACGTATTGTGGAGGTTGGTTATTGGTGTGGTAATAAACTGCATAAGCGTATACTGCAGAAAACATTTTATTGGAGAATACCAAGGCAGTTAAGGATAAGGGATAATGCTCATATGTTCTCCAGCAGCAAACCTCACATTTTTGTGCCAGAGGTCTTGATAAGGCTGCAGCTCTGGAGTTACCTTTAACTGATTCTGCCAAACCATCACACAGTAAGAAAAGCAATCCATGGCAAAGTTCCCTCAGAGAGACATCAAGTAAAGAAGGGCCAAAATAAGTGGAGAGCTAAATAATTTATCTTTGCTTCATATTACCAACCTAGTGCCAACATCCCCTACCACAGACCCCTGTGTTTTCCAGGTTTGTGAATGTACTGTAATTGAGGATAAAATGTAGTACATATCCAGGGCTACAGACATAACATACATTTAAGACATTCTCAGGGTTACCATATGACTCCATGTTCTCCATACACTTTGAGACAGCACAGGATTTTAAAACTGCCCCTCAATACTTTAAATACTTCTAACATCTAGTCTTTCCTAAATTCAGAACTGTTACTTAATTACCCTACAGACACACAATTAAAAAAAACATTAAAGTACATTTTAAATGTAAATATTCACATTTCTTATTTATTTTGTTGTCATCTATTTTTGTTCTTGTGCTAATACAACAAGGCTTTAGTTACTGTAATAATTAATCATATGTGATTCAGAACAGCTCTCCCACGGTCTGATCCATGGCAGAAGTAGTGAACAGCTGATCACAATTAAGACTCTTCTACAGTACATAGAGTCGTTATACATCTCAGCAAAAATGTAATGCCTAGTTTGCATGTTAATTTTTGTTTAAATACTGTACAATGTTAAAATCCTGTCCTGTCTCAATTAACTCCAAGTCATATGGTCATTTTGTTGCTTAAATCAAGACCTTCCCATGGGCTGGGATATCACAGTAAGTGAGCAAGCTGCTCAGTTGATGTGAAGTGTATTTGCTGCTGAGTGGACAGTTATTGCCTTGTTCTGAAATCCCCCCACCCTTCCGTTTACTAACAATAAATAACTTTACAATTACATCTTTTTTTAAAAAAAACATACAAATGCATTTCTCTGAAAGAAAAAAATAGTTGAACAATCCTCAGTCGTTGTCATAGACACAGTCTGGAAAAAAAACAAAACAAAACAGGTCTTGATGTAATACATCACATAAAACATGTACAACCAAACACTTTTCCAAACTGCATCAGAAACACCCTTACAAAATAAAGTACCGCTGAAACAGTCCAGCCAAATTATATCTACGCCTTGTGCGTCTGTAGCTTTTCATTCCAGATCTGCTCTTAATGACATCAGCCCGTCACTGGCTTAATTGGAACCAATTTAATAATTTCTCCCAGCTCACCAGGTTCTGGTACTTTAAAAAGAAATAGAAAACCTGCAGACACACCAGCAAAACAGGAAAGGAATCGCATCCCCACACTCTAAACTACAGTATTTGAGTGCTTCAGGTTGTGTGGGTCTTCAATCCTGCGGGATCTTGAATGACGTGTTAAAGATTGAGTCCATCTTATACTGTATACTGGATATGTACTGTATAATCATCTTAATTAAGTTCTTGAGGGGTAGAATGACAGAACTTGAAGGTCATCAGAACCAGTGGAGATTTCTCTCAGAATCACAAAGGCTGTGTTGAGCAACCCCTGATCTGACTTCTAATTAGCTGACAAGTTCATTAAGGAATTATTGGGGTATAAAACCGGAATGGAAGAGTAGAGGTTGCCCTACACTTCTTTGCTGAATGTTATTAAAATGTTACATATCAGTCCAGAAGGAAGGAGTTATATTGTTTTTTTTTCTATGAAGAAGACTGGAAATGAGGATGAGCTGTAATTGACTGAAAGGAGGCCTTTCAAGGCGTTCTTTCTCCAGTATGACCTAAAATAAGATTTTCTTTCTGTTTCCCCTGCCTGCACTTCCCCTATCACTTGTTTATTTGTTTTACCATTAAACAGTTCATATTTAATCCGCTGAAAATAAAAATAAATACAATTTGGTTTGGAGGTGAGATGCACACCTGGACAACTCATCCAAAAACTGTTACATACCTTCACCAATGTCGTCATAAATGTCGGCATCTCTGCAGAACAGAAGCAAACAAAGTCAATTGAAAAAAAACGTTTCAGACAGCATGTTCAGGTTTGTGGTGGTCCAGGAGTTGAATATAATAAAAATTTGATAAATTGTACAGTACCTCGACTGGCTTCTGCACCAGTGTGCTGAGTGTGTAATACACACAGAGGTTACAGAAACAGGCTTGTACAGATGGTGCTCTCCTACAGCAAAGGGCAGGGCTGTGTGTGGTGTGGACTTTGTGTGCACCCAGCTAACAGGAGTTTCACATCCGTTTTCATGGTAATTCATGCCATGAAATGTGCCCCAAATATATTTTACCACAGGACATTCAGTTTTGGAGTTTTCAGCATGAGGGCCAGGATAATTGGTATTAACCACAAAAGGAGCTTTGAGCCAGGTTTCAATACATGGCTTAACCTCCATCATGAGCCTAAGTAATTTGCAGGACTGGAAATTATCCTGATTTATGCAAGACACCCCGAAGTGGAGCACCATTCCCTAGCAGTGATGTATCTGTTTGTGCACCCTGAGGTTCAAGAATACAAAAGAAGCATCTGCAACATGGTCTCAAACCCACATGCCATAACCAAAGAGATGGGTTGGTGCCCAAACTAGTATTCCACTCTCAGTTTAAAAAAAGCCTAACTACTGCAAACATTTCTGTTTTGAGTCCGCAAGCTGACTGCAAGTGGTGGCGGTTTGAAATGAACAACTGACTATGAAAGCTGGAATGTGTTTTGTTTGCAAGGAGGCATGGGAACCATCCACTCATTGATAGAAAGGCATTTCTTTCATTAATGGGAACAGAAGAAAGCTGAACAAAAGATATCTCAATGAAAAACGCACAGTCTGAAAAGCATGCAGACTTGCATCAGTGCAAACAGTGGTTCACATTCATTATTCAACTACTTTATGCATGTTACTTACTCTGCTATGATGTTGCTGGTTAAAACATATCCAACTGTAAAAAAACAGATCACATTTTTATCTTTTTAAGACAAACACATGGAAATGGAAAGTGGATGATAGTTTTAGAATTAAACCATTTCAGATCTGCTTTTTTTTACTTGCTTGGAAGAGACCCTCGGCTAGATGACAACAGAAGCAAGTTGCTGTTAAAACAATTAAAATGGCCTTACAGCTAGAAAATCCAAAATTAGAAACCTAAGGGCTTCCACATATGTCACTGATTTCTGAGCTCTAGTGGTATTACTGGGAAGCAATAATAGCCGGAGCGGAAGGAAACCACACAAAGAGGTTGTAGAAGAGGTTCTAGAACATCCTGTGAAACAAGACAGAAGTAACTTGTTCAAAACTGTCTGGAAATTCTAGTGTGAAGTTCTGTTCTCCTGCAGGTTAGAACCAATATCTTCCTACTGCCAGAAAATACACACAAGAATCTCATGTAATGGTCAGTGCCATGTAATCTCAATTAATGGTCATTTGTGTCTGTATGAGGGGTTCCTGCCTTGACCTGACCTGACTTAGCTCTTTCTCTAATTACATTCAATACATACATCTAAAGTGGAAGATTTCTGTCTAGCCACTGCACTTAACTCATTAAAGACATCTTGCTATCACTCTCACTATGAATATTCTTTCAAATGTATCAGGAATATCTACTGCATTGTCATGTTTATAAGTCTTTATAACATAAGGTGCCTTGAATTCATATATACAGTAGTACTGTAAAAACATAGTGCAATGCAGTGTACAAGTCATGGAATGTGTTGTTTGTGTCCACTTAGCAAAAGGTAATACAGAATTTGTAGATTTCAGTTTATTGTACTGGCAATAATACAAGTACAATTAGATGGTTTACTCTGTGAAGCTATGCTTTTTGTGCTCATTTGTGTAATTGAACTAACTCTGACACCCATATAACTGGTCAAGTTGGGGCAGCAGATGAGTTGAGATATTTTTTAAAAAGTCAGAGAAATGATACAAGGGTGTTGTGGTTTAAAGTTAAACCACACATCACAGAAGAAAAAGTAACAGAATGTAATCGAAATGAAAAAAATAAGCAATGGTCCCCAGCTAAAACAATAATACAATTAAGAGGTGTTAACATTAGTCAAAATAAAACAAGAAACTTTAAAAGCTTTATTTATGGCAATTTCTAAAACATAAGCGTTAAAAATGGAAGCACAAATCCATACTGTAAAACCTTTCTTTTGTTTCAGATAAATATATTTCTAAAACAAAGTGAAAACAAAATGTGCTGTCTGTGTGTTTTTTACTGACAAATATGAGAAAACATAGGAATGTATTCTGTTTAACATATATAAATACATTCCTAAAAATAATGTACTACCAAATGTATCTGAAGTTTCAGAAAGAAGAGACACTTTGTCCCCAAACTCACATTTTCCATCCTCGTTTCTGCAGATCATCTTGTTGTCCACAGGCTTCTGAATTACATCCACAACCTCCCCAGGCTTCAGGGGCAGATCTTTGCCACCCCACTTCTTGTTGGTCAGTGTGGACACTATCGTGACTTGGTACAGCACCTGGATTTCACCATCGTACTGTAAGCAGGGATAATAGAAATATAAAAAAGACACACAAACGGTAATAAAAAACAGCAACAAGATGGAACTACTTTCCAATTAGTATGAAGGTTTATTTATTCATTTTGCATGGTAATAAAAAAAATCAAATATTACATAAAGAAACTTCACTCTCTTTCTGGGGTCTCAAAACCTAATACGAGAGAACTACAGTGTCAGCCTCTTTTTGTCCTAGTTAGTCAAGACTAAAGTGATTTACTGTATAGCCCCTGTCTGTCCCTGGCACCAGCAGTGAAGACCACAGGGAACCTGGGACTGAATCTGTTCTCAGGTCCTGAGTGTTTAGGGGTTACAAGATAGCTGCCGAGAAAGGGTGAAAGGTTGAGGTGCAGTTTGTGTAACTCATAATAATACTGCACACGAGGTACCAGTACTGTGAGAAGACATTGCTCCTGATTCTACAGGACATTTGTCAGGTTTGTCCAAGTTCTGTGTCTGTATTCATAGGAAGGCAAAGAAATAGTAGGCTGGAAGTAACTGCACAACACACTGCGACAATTTTCTTACTTTAAACTTTTTCCTGAACTCCTTCTCCTCTTTCTCAAACTTCTTCTGCTTCTTCAGGTCCTTCTCTTCTGTCTTGTCCTTTGCTTTCAATTTTGGTAGACTAAACAGCAAACAATTAAGAAACACTAACTGGAAATGGGCCATAATACAGAAAAAGTAAACCAAGTTAGCAATATTTTAATATTGTTATTGTCCTACAGCCTTAATCTGATATTTTTCCATAAGAACATAGGAAAGGTTACAAATGAAAGGAGGCAATTCAGTTTGCTAACTGATCAAAGAGTCTTGTTCAACCATTTCTTGAAATAAGTCAATTTCAAAAACGTGTCTAGGTACCTTGCCCCACATTTTCACAATCCTTTGTGTCGAGAAATGGCCCCTTTTAGTTTTTTTTCTTAGATTTTGTGTTTCAATGTTGCTTCTGAAGAAGTCCATTGGATTGACATTGTCCATGGCTTTGATGAATTTTAGTAATAAGTTTAAGACTTAAAAGATTTAATTATTTTAGTCTGTCATTCTAGTTCTGGTAACCCAAAAAAAAGTATTTTGTTGCTCATTTCTGGATTGAGTCCAGAGCAGCAATAAATTGTACAAAATGTTAACTAAAATTGCATTTTAAAATGAAATACCCCCTTTTTTTAGTTTAAATCAAGAGCAAAGGAAGTGCAGAAGTATAGGCCTTTCTTTAAAAAGGGACCAAGATAGAGAAAAATAGGTGATAGAGGGACCCCAAAGCACTATTCAGAAGGGATATTAGAATAGGAAAGAATAGTTTCTAACTAACGCAAAGGGAAATTAACAAGCGGAATGGACTATTAAATATCATTAGAGATGGTTAGCAGAGTATTGCATGGATTTGTTTTAGGGCATACTTTTTGTTCTGGTTTCCACAAAAGTGTATAGATGATACAAAATTACAGAGGATGATAAACAGTTTAGGAGAAGAAAATATAACGTGTTATATAAAATGTATAAGAAGTCTTAGACACCATCCATGACTGGTAAGACACCTGAATAAAATATATTGCACAAAGGCAACAAATATGCATACGGAGAGGAATTAAAAACAAGCAAACAAGAATTAGAACCTATAGAATATGTTTTTAAAATACCTTTCAATATACTTAACAAAATGGGTGGCATTGGGATTTATGAAAAGAATTTAGGACTTAAGAGCGTCAAGGATTGTCAATGCCCTCATCCAAGCATGTGGTTAACCAATTATTGAGAAAAAAAAAAGATTTTTTGGGAAAAATGCATAATAAAAGTTCAAAGAAGATGTTACAGAAAAATGAGTGCATTGTTGGGCACTAAGTTTCAAAAGGACAACGCTGCTCTGGAATAAATGTAAAAAGGCAGCAACCAGATTTTACACAACAACATTAAAGAAACAGCACTTAAGTTATCCACATTTTTTACCATCTGGTTTTAGAGTGTTCGTTTTCTTCATTTTTGTTTCATTCCTTATTTTTCCATTGCTTTAATTGTCAATCTAAACAGGTGACAAGAGTTCTTAATGAAAGAAAGGTAAAACACCTGAAAGCAAGGGGTGGTGGAGGGAAGGGGGTAGATTCCACGTCATCGTAGATCTCATCATCGACGGGAGCAGCTGCCTTTTCTGAGGAGCGGGAGGAGAGAGGTACAGTATAAGACCAGCGTAGATCTCACTTCACAGCTACTGAAGCCCTGCAGTCTGCTCAACGTAGCCTGCGCAGCCAAGGGAAAATTTCTTCACACATCTGACAGCCAACAGACACTAAAAAAACATGGGCTTAAGGACATGAATTTCAGTCATTCAACCAGCAAACTGCTGCCACTTTAAATACAGCGTGATTGTACATTGGATTTTTTTTATGCCAACAGGACACAACGTTTTGCAAATAAGCCAGTGTATTTCGTTATAATTGCTCCACTGTATTATCAACATTTTGCTATTTTTTTATTTGCTGTTATTTGGGGATTTGAATTTCAAGCCAGGGATAAAATGAAGAATATATGGGGTTTGACTGCTCAATCTGAGGGACAGGCAGTAATGGAAGAAAATAAAGGCAGATTCACATCAAAGGTCTCCAAAACCTTTCCTCTTAACACCTTAAGCTTCACTTTCCACTGCACTGGCAGTATAGACGGTTCCCATTGTGTTCAGAAAGCTCAGGTCCATGAAGCAGCCGGTAAATATTTAGGGAGTGCAGTACAGCAACAGGGAGATGAAGTGTACACAAATACACAGTATGCTTAAGAATTTTTTATTCCATTACCTTTTGGAAAATCAGCCGGCGGTCCTCTGCAAAAACAAACAATAATCTCTCTTAGTCTTTTTCACTTACATCTTGCAATTTAATAATGAAGTCTGATTACATGTAGTAAAAAGGGGCACAGTGAAATTCTTTAAGGGAACAGCAGTAGAAAGTAGGAAAATCTTTGATAAAGGTCATTGGCAAACGTTTTTAGACATGTAATTACATATTAATTATGTACAACAGTCGAAGAAAATCTTGTCTTCTTCACTGTGTATTACTGGCTTCTGCTTTTTACTCGGGCTTGTAACATATGCAGATGCTTGTATTCACCCTAGGTTTTTTATTTAAAAACATCTCAGTGTTCTGCAGCATTCAGGTTTATATCTGCATATGTTACATGAAAATACATGTCTGGCACACAACAGCAAACCATCAAACTTTGCTGGTGCCTTGAGAGCTCCAAACTTCAGGTGATTAGAAGTGTGTGAGCTACAGTACAGCACAGGCAGAGCTGAACCAGATTACCTGGCCAAGCTATACCCAGGAGAGACAGGGGGAAACTGGATATTAGTGAGATGTGTGCATGATGTTCAAGAGAAGTCAAATCATGGACTATGCACACTTTATTTAAAAAAAGAAAAAGGTTAGTCGTAAGATTATGGGTGTACTGAATACTGATTGATTTTTAATCTGAAAATGATATTTGTCTCATTTTCCATTTACTGTTCCCTCTTGCTGAATGGAACCTTATTGCAGGGAGACACACACCTTATCAATTTGATTAGAATGCAATGGAGTAAAACATTACAGGAAGAGGATCTAATTGGCCAATACGGGATATTATTTTTAAGTTATTTGTCTCATGCATTTACTGAAAGTGGCGTACATAGATTACCCTTCTTCACATGTAAAGCTTGTTCTGATTGATACTTTATAGAGCTGGATTGCTAGAGTAATTTGGGAAAAAAAGACCCAAATAAGACTTGAACCCTTAAAACAGCTACTCTACAGCACAGCCCCTAGAGGGTGTACATGTAAAATGTTTCGCAGTAGGTGTTGGAGATACTAAGCCATTCAAAGTCATATTACCAAAAAGAGATTTCCTTTATAGGTTCTTGTCCTACTGTTCTTTTATATACTATATTCTGTACATTTTATTTCACTGATCTTTTTTTACGCTAAACTGATTTTAGATTAACTTAATTTTTAGTCATTGTAAATTCTCTCCATTGAGGAGTATAACTGAAGGTTTAATCAAATCAATCAGAAAATCAGTTAATTTAATTAATTCTATTTCAATTTAGTTTTGTTGATTGATTAAAATAAATTAATTGAGTTAATTTAGGGAACTGTGTGCCTTAAGAACCTCTCACCCATTGCGTAAGGTAGTTAGAACATAAAACTTTGCATATGTTTAATATTTGCTGTTAAATTAAATGTTTCTTTGAAAAAGGTTGAATGTGCTTCTTTGCTTCATTTACAATAATTATTGTCATGCTCCTCACATTTAATGCTTCTCTTCATATCACCTGCATTGATAATCCACACACAGGTGGTCAATCAAGAACACATTCTGACCCATAATCTAGCCATCCACAGTCAACTCTAAAAGAATGCACTCATTATTATCGCAGCATGCATTCTGGAGCAAGCTTTTCAAATACAACTGCATACTTTATTTCCATGAAGCTAATGTGGCAGGGTGCCCCATGTAAGGACTGTCATTTCCATGGTCCTACCGCTAGAGGCCGCTAAAGATTAGTCACTGGTTCACTTGGGCACGCACTCGCTAATTGTTTTTGAATAACTGACCAGGGTGCTTTCTCACATGTGCTCAGTTTGGGTGTTCCCATGACAGTCCATCTATGCGACAACCTGCCAAACTTAGAAATGTCTGCAAACAAATTATGCTGTTATTTTGCATTGATCAGATTTTGCTTAATGGAGATGGCATCAAAAGTATTTTCTAAACATGCAGACGGCAATTTTAGTCAATGGATTATTTGTTGGCAAATCTTTATTCAGAAGTGAAGAAGCGGATTGGTGTTTAGACTATTTTAAAAGGGCCGTGTCATTAGGCATTTTAAAGGTGCAAAAGAACTGGCTAAATAATAAAAAATGCCCATTGTAAATAGACCAAAAAAGCTGGCCATTATTGCAGTTTAGGATCCAGAAAACAGCTCTTTTCTCACTGTACCTGTTGTCTTATCCAAGAGAATGGTTAAAATTTGTTTGTTTTTTTTAAATGTTCACTGCAAAATTTCAGTCACAGAATAAAAAATAGTACACCAGCCAACTGTATACTTCAGCTTCACCTTTTCAGAATTACCTCAATAAAAATATCAATTTTAAAGATTATTTTAAAACCTCTGTGAATATTTCCACAACAACAACATTGGCCATTGGTAATATTGACACTTATAGTATAGTAATGTCAATGTCAATATGCTGCTCCTCGGCTTGTAAACTGAGGTAGTGTAGAGTATATAGATAGTGAGCAAGAAATGTAGCTATGTAACAAGAAAAGTATCTCTTACAATAAACAAACATAAACATAAACACGATTATCCCACCATGTTTTTTAGGTAAAAGGCAAAAATCCAACCTCTCACGTCCCAAAAATGAAATTCTTCATCTCCGCTTAATTATTAATTATCTCTGGGTAACTTTGATGATTGAACTTAAATGTTTTTCTCCACTTTCATCAATTGAGAACAAATTTGCAGTGATGACCTGGAGACCATACTGTATTTACAACACTACTGGAGCAGTGTGAGTGACTAATGACCTTGCCAAAGGGTACATCAGCATCATCACACCTGGGACTTGAACCCACCACCATCTACCTCCTCACAACCCCAGAGTTCAGAGTCCTAACCACTAACCACACTGCTGCCACATTACAGCCAGGAATGATGGCAAACCCTTCATGATTGTGACCCAGAAGTGCTGTTTTCCAGAAGATAACCTGCCAGAATAATGCTTACTTCATTTTTCACAGAGCAAATTTAGGTTCCTTTCAGAAATGGAAAAGTATGGAATCAGCTTTGCCTTTTGCACCATTAAAGACTGATTAGGGGGGAGGAATGGATACGTTAAGGATTAGTTCCTGGAGATTTAACTTGGGCCGTTGGCATCTTACGAAGTTGCAACATCCTCATTATTGTTGGACAAGGTTTTCTTTTTCTCCTCTTTGCCCTTAATGATCTTCAGCAGCCCCCACGGCCAGGATTTGTCCTTTGAATCTTCCTGCGATGTCGCACTTCAGGGAGTTGTCAAGTCGGAGAGAAGAATACAACAAGCACACAAACATTGACGTCCATTTCTTTGGCCACTCTAGCTGTGAGGCCGTAACAGCAATGCAATGTCTGTCCCAGAAAGTAAGCCAGAGCAACAAGTCAAACAAGGTAAAATGAGCAGCCTTGACAATGAGTTTTTCCCAGTGTGCAAACTGTGAGCCAATTACCCATCTTATTCATTTAGTGTGCAATGTGCCCACAGCCTGTGCAATTGGAAAATATGTCAAACAGCACTAAGCGTCAAAGGATTGACGTAAAACACGGAAAACAGCATCCAGAGCAGGGTTGCTGACCTGTCTCAATTTTGATTCTCATATTTGAGTAAAGTTTCCCCAGAAATCATCAACAGTGGGGATGTAAAAAAATCGCAAGGGGAAGCACCCCACTCGTATTCTCTACTGCAGGGCAGACCTGCCCCCAGAAACATCACGTTTTTAGAATTGAAAAGGTAGAACCCTAATCCAGAGCTCTGTGCATCATGCATGGCAAGACACAGTAGCTGAGAAGGGTGACAACTATTATGTGGGCACAGTAGGGTTCCTGCTTGTAAATTAGACTACTCTGAGGAAAAAATAGAAAGGGAAATCATTTCCTTATACACATAAATTGTGCAAATGTCTGTGTCCTTTTATAGCTCACTTCCCAAATTTGGGCAAGCACGAAAAAATGACTTAGGTGCCGCCTAATGTACAGTATATGCTAAATTTGGTATAATTTGAACAATGTTATTTGGATTTAATTTTTTGTTTATGTTTTCACAAAACATTGATCATATGTGTAACCAACAGAACTTTCAATATGAGCACAGATGCCACTTTCATTATGAGCACATATACGTTCATTTGTTGCCTGCCCATTCTGTATATTCATTTAGCCACTTCTTTGAGTAGTAGGAATCACAGAATTAAATAAATAGACATCTGATCCAATAAACATGAATGAGAATTAATTAATTTTTAATAAATTATTCATTTTAATTACTAATTAAATTTATATTAAGGTAAATATCCACACCACTGTGAGGCCATAAAGTGAATATTTGTAACAATCCAGACTGTGATTTTTATAAAAATAGCATACTACCCATTAAACAAGTTTTAAAATTCCACTCAGTTACAAAAACCCTCCAGGAACACAGTGTGACACCCCTGATGCAAAGTGAGAACAATAGAAAGACATAAACTTCCCACCTGACATTCAGCTCAGAGTTGTCTGGGTCATGATAAATGTCATCTTCCTCTTCTGGTGGAGGTGGCAGAACAACTAATAGAAATGAAATACATACAAAAGAGGCATACCGTATGTACAGTAAGTTCAGTTAACTCTGTAGTGACATTTTTAACACTTTGTGTCCCTAATGCTCTTATAGTTATTTGGTAGTGTGAGAGGGCAGTAAGTTCAGACAAGATGGAGACTCTTGTCTCAGCTATATTTCACAGAAGGCAATGGGGAATGGCCTGTCATCCTCAATCACCTGACTAGTCTTGGTAGAAGACTATTGGTTGGGTGACAATTAAAATCAGGAACTTGCGTTTTCCAATTGGCCATAGAACCTTGCTGGCTACAAAACCAGGTGAGCCTCTGTAAAGCTTTTGCATTAGGGGAGCAGAGAGGAAACCATGACCAAACATCAGGCATAAGAATGTGAGTTTTGGTCTAGGAGAGAGATTTATACAGTATTTCGGAGTCGGTAAGCAGATTAGCAGTCCAGTTATATTTATAGACCAAAGAAATCTTCTTAGAGTTAAGAAGAAAATCTAAGAAGACAGGCTCTATAATGATAAACACTGTAGTAAGCCATTTTATTTTTTATTCACAAAGGTGCTTCAAAAAGTCTGCAACTATCAGGGAACCCCCACAAAAGTTGTGCCTGGCAGTAATGGCATGTTTCCGGAACACTAACACCCTTCAATGTACGTTTTTCAATCGGAATGTGTTCCTGTTCATTGCCAACCCATTGCAACTGGATGTACAGTATGTTTCACTTTTTTCCAGGTGGATATGAAATTTATATAAAAACAAAGGAAAAATAAAAAAGTTTTTCTGTTGATTCTGGTTTGCTCTGCACGTTAAAACTTACCCCCAGGACCTCGGCCCCCACTGAAAAAAAGAGATAAGATTACATGTTTCAGCTTACAAATTCACAACACCTTAGGCTACCTTTATACAATCAACATTTAAACTGTTTTCAATACCGCTGAATCATGCCATCATGCTGGATATCCTCTTTTTCTCTTCTTATTAAAGAAAGAAGAAAGAAGTTAAAGAAGTTTTGAGGGTCACAGGAAGCCATGATCCTGAGATGCATGAACTCAGCATTTTGATTGTGAAATTGTTGCACAGCTCATTGTTACTTATCTGGTCTTGCTGTTATTTATCTAATTACGGGTGTGTTTTAGGATGGTATGTGTAGTTGTGTTGGGTGGATGCTGTATTGGCTCTACAGTATGTTTTATATTTGTATTGTATGTTATTTTTATAAGTTGTTATGGCAATAAAGTGAACTTTGAACTTTCTTAAAAATTTATAATTTTTATTTTACAGACAAACTAGTTGGGAGAAATGCTCACACAAAAAGAAATCTATTGTCTATTCAAGACAAGTATTAGATGAACACTTATCACTCTCCTTCCAAGGATGTTTAACACACTCATGGTCTTGCAGTTATTCATCAGTTTTTATAGGGTGTATCCAATTTTGATATACTGTACATTGACTATTGTAATACTGTAAAAGTACAATACTGTATTACAAATTTAGTAAATAATAAGTATAGTTGTTTCTGTACTGTGTGAGAGAGTTGAAAGGCCATGCTTGGGTTTTGAAGGAGAAGATTAAACTCCAGTCATCATATTCCCTATTTTTCTCAAAGTACAGTATTGAAGCAAGACTCTGCTCATCATCCACGGAAGAGCTAGCCTGCCAAATACAAGCAAATACCCAACAAGCTAGAGTTTAAATGACCCTAAATGGTGTTCTAAATTTTATTAAGCTGCCATTTTGGCTTTTCATGTAAAAAATGTGAAAATGTGTTTAAGGATCAGAGTGAGGCCTCCAGTTTTTTTAACCAGGACAGACCTGTTCAGAGCACAGGAGACAGGGCACAGGGCACAGGGCACAGGGCACAGGGCACAGGATGAGGCTCCCCACCTCAAAGTCACTCATCTGAACTTGGAACCCACTCCCATAGCACAACTGCCAGAGTTCTGCTCAGGTTAGTGGGTTCAAGGTTGAACAAGTTGGACTTGCCTTGGAATGACAACCCTGAGGGTAACTTACCTGAGGAGTGGAGTGCTGAAAGGAAAATTAATCAGATAATCCATTTTAAAAAAGGAAGGTGCTTTCCAGTGAGGTTTTTGCAGACAGAGAAGTAGAGACACTTTGTGTGATGAAACCTCACCTGTTGACTTCCTCATTCGAAGCAACGTCATCGTACAGTTCACCGTCATCCTCAGGGTGTTTGTCAGAGACCATGAGACCAAAGGGCTTCCTTTTCAGGGTGTCGTAGTCAATCTCCACTGACTCTGTCTTAACATATCCATCTGCATGGAAGGAGCATTTACAAGTTGTGACATTGAAGTAAAAATTCAATCAAGGTGGATTTCCAAATACTTGGCGATGGCGTTTAATGTTTTTGCTTTTGGGATAGCCTAGGATTAAGTTTATGGCCAAACATCAGTATGAAAAGCACAGCAAAATGGGTATAATGAACATGTACTCAGCTCTGTTAGTACAGGAAGCCAGCAATAACAGAACCTGAAATTCACATCAGATCTCTTCAACTGTTGGTACTAGTTCTCTAGTACTAATTTCACAATTGTTTTCACTAATTGTGAAAACAATTCAAGTGGGTTTTTCACTGTGGTTCACTGTGAGAAACATTATTACATTACTGAAATACATCTGGTAATGAGCCATTCAGAAAGAACATATTCAAAGAGGAAAACCAGGCTCATTTTAGGGTGACAATTAAGGGAAAACTGAACTTGTATTGTGCATTTCTACACACTCATGTTGCATTTTCAGTCCAGACCAAGCACAGGATACTTGTACAATGGCATGGCTACACATTTACATGAGTCTGTCTGCAGGTGTCACCGTCGTGTGCATTTTTATCTTGCAGTTTCACTGCATGGATGTCTTAGAATTGCCTGCAGAAATAAAATTATTGAGCCCCACTGTGAGCACAATGTCACACGGCGAGAGAGGGAAGCTCAAGCGGAAAGATGCCTACAAGACCCGTCTTTGTTCCTGCCCAGCCAGCGGCCTTCAGGGTTGTCTGTGATGCGGATGATGTCGATGGCCTCTCCTTGTTTTATCATCAGATCATTCTTGCCCCCTTTGCAGTCCACTCTTGCCTTCACCTTGTGGATGACTTCCAGGGGGCCGGTCAGCTGTAGGAAGGAAAAGCACAGGAAGGATTTAATCAGTTGTGATGGAGCTCCTGAACCAGCACTTCAGTTATGTCTCTGATAATGGGTCTCTTTTCCCAGTCAGGCAGCTGGCTAGAAGGATCTGCACTGAAGTGGTCCGGCCCATTTGGTGGCCCATAAGCTGGGACGTGTTTTCTCCTTGTGTGAGAACAGAGTGCGGTATCACAGACGGAAACCATGTCAATAGCTTATCTGTCTGTGCTGAAGCCTTATCAGCTTGCAGTGGCTGGAAACCGGGAGCTCCATCTGATCCATGTGTGTGGCATACACAATGTCTCTATAATCCCATCCTCACCTTAAACCTCTTCTTCAGATCCTGCTCTTTCTTTTCTCGTTCCTTCTGCTCCTTCTTCTCCTGCTCCAGCCGTTTCTTCTCCTCTTTCTCTCGTTTCTTCTCAAGCTCTTTGGACTCCTTGGATGACCTAACACCAGACAGAGGTGAATACTGATAGGCTAAGCAATCTGCAATGAGAAGTATGTACTGTTCGGAGAGCCCTTCTTCACTCAAATGTGGGCATGCCTTTTGTGCCTTTTGTAATTGGGATTACAAAACCCAAAACTTGATAGTATTTTTTTAAAAATTTTTGGACGCTTCTGGCTACTACTCAGAGAACTACCTCTATCAATAGTTTGTCATCATGCATTTACTGAGTGTGAGCGAAACTTGGATTTAAACCAGACCTGGTAATCCCGAAAACTAAGTTCCGGAAAAGCCATTCAGGCACCTCTGCTGTGTTTAGTATGAACACAAGAGGGCGTCATCCCCTCAGAAACCTTTATTGCTGCAAAGTCACGGCCACCCGTCCACCTTTGTGAAAATTCCTCTTTGAAATAAGCAATGCTAATGATCACACGTTTGTTGGCAGCGGGAATAGTACTATTAGGATTTTCATAAAGGTCTGAGTAATAACTAGGTTACACTAGGTTAATAGGTTATTTCAAAATCCTGATCTGCTGGATGTGGTATGGGACAATTTATTCAATACTTTCAAACATTCTAACCATCAACTAATTTTCAAAGCACTGGATTTATTCTATGCAATCCTTGTACTCTTAACATACCTGTCCTTTTATGCACATAATTTGGGAGTGTACAGAGGTCACTCATTTTTGGGGTCATCTGATATCCCTACTGTCCCTACTGTCCGGAACAATCAGAAAAAACATAGCACTGGATCCAGCTGTGTTACTACTTAGTAAGGACTCAAGACTTCCACTGAAGGAGTGTCAAATACTGTATATGTTGATAACCATGCAATTAACATCCAGTAAATATATTGTAACGCAACGGGGGCTCAGGCAGGCGCCCTTGCCGCATCAGGTCGGCCCCATCCTGACTGAGGCTCGAACCCGGGACTCCCGTGTCTCTCTGCAGTGACCCAGCCCCGTGAGCTAAAGAGAGATCTCTCTACAGCCCAGTAGCTGTAGTCCTGCTATCACAGGGAAGGGCGGTGAC